AGGGAAAGTAGGGCTGGGTGGACACAGAGGGTAACTAAATCATGGAGCATCAGCTCAAAAAAAAAAAAAAAACCAAAGTGAATAGGCAGACATTGAGGAAGACAAAATTTGATAAAAGATATATATATAGTTGTAGCTTAAGCTATTTCCTTAGGGACAAGACTATGATCTATAATGCTCAAATATTATTGTTTTAATTAATTCTGGGACCACAAAGTACCCACAATACTTTCATTTGGACATAAGCTTTCTGTTGTTAAGTGTCATCAAGTTGGTTCCGACTCATAGGGACACTATATACGTTTTCTGAGGAGCGGCTAGTGAGTTTGATCCGCAAACCTCGTGATTAGTTAGCAGTCTAGTGTTTATCCCACAGCCACACTAGGAATCCATACAAACTTTCTAGGGAAGAATTAAAGAGTGTATTCAAATAGGCAAAGAATGGAGTCTTGCTTTCCACCTGCTTATCTAAGGCACCCACCCACTATGCCAATGTTGCTAAACCAATCCAGACTTCCTTTGGCTCCACTCAGCATTCTAGCTATCCTCCATGCTAAATCTGTTATATATTTTTAACAACAGTTACTGAGCAGCACACTTCAGGTGGCTAACTTTGAAGTTACTACAAAGGGAGAAGCAATGTGAAGGGCTTGGCAAAGACCCTTGGTAAAAAACCTGTTAGTTCTTACCTTTTGGTTTTTTAATGACATCAAAAGAGAAGTCCAAGGCTTCTCCTTAAATACTGTTCAGTTGGACAGCCAGGATCCTGGGTTCTGTTATGTACTTGAGACCGCTTTATGATTGACTCCATAGGATAAGTAATGGAATGTGAATTACATGGTCGGCGGTTCAAGCCCACTAGCCGCTCAGTCCGGTACAAGATGAGACTTTCTGCCCCTACGAACACTTAAAGCCTCAGAAACCCTACAAAGGGACCCTGTAAGTTGGAACCGGCTACTTGCATGTAAAAGTGGCAAAAAAAAAATCTTTTAGTTCCTCCTGCCTCCTTTTTCTAAATCGAGTTATCTTATCTCCTGAGCTTTTTCTTTCTTTTTTTTTTTTTTACTTCACAGAATGCCTTTACCTCATTCAAACGCAATTCCGAGTTGAGCAGGAATAACAAGACGGCGAGAGTAAG